GCTTCTATCATCCGGACCTCTCTAAAGCCAGGGTACTGATTGAACAGCACTTCCAGCATCATGCTTGTAGTCTCATGAGGCAGATTCTGTATGAATAGTATATTGTTTGGCTCTGTTGTTTCTTGTGCTCCTCCTGGCTTTCCTTGGCGAGCAGCCGCCGCCTGCATAAATTAATTCCTTCAGTTTGATTTACATTGCTTTTGTTTGAAAATTTTAAAAGAAAATACTCAATATTTCGATATTACATCCCGCTTCGTAGCGTCATAATTTTCTTATCAGCCAAACTTTTACCAAGCACTAGATTTATTTTACTATGTGGGTTGATTGGTCTATAATAACAAATAGTAGTGCAAAAGCACATTTTTGGAACTTGTATCTTTGTTTTCATATATTATTTTCTTATTTTATTAATTGTGTGTATTTGAATCCCCCCATGGCTTAGCCAATTGAGAAACTTCAGCCATTACAACAAAAATTACACAATTTAAGAAAAGTCAGTGTTACAAATGGGCTTCAACAATATAATAGCATCAATATGAATCAAGTAAAAATGGAATCACAAAATCTTACAGTTGGGCCTCCATTTGCACCTCTTGGGCCATTAGCTGCACCAGTTGCTTCTTCTGTGTGTTTCTTCTTGTCAGCTGAACATTAATGCATGTAACATTATAACTCACATATGTACTAAAGGAGAAAAAACAAGTTTTAACATAAACAAAATCAGGTCCCTAGCCAAGAAAGTTCATTAATTAAGGAGAAAAAAATTGTTTGCCGCTTCATCACTAGTTTTGCCCAATTTGTAAAAAGCATCAAGTAGGAACAAGGCAAGCAGTAATCTGAGGGCTATGTGGTGTCTAACTTCTAAGCACTACTTTTTCCCTTTCGGGTTACAATAATGCCTTTGCCACTCAATTGGTAGTATTCAACCAATAGAAGGCATTAATGATTACACTTATACCCGTATTTCATCTCAAGTTGCACTACACATTAGCTTTACATTTGATTTACCCATTACAGAATGGTGTCATATATGAGCGTGCATGTGTGTACACAAAACCCCACTAATGGAACATTGTTAGCCAGCACACATGACATGAAAATAAACTGGATTGTGGATGGAAATAAATTAGTTTTGCTAGATGTGAACAAATCTAGATTTGATATCTTGCCTTTTTCATCATCCTTCTTTTTCTTGTCATAAGTACCATCAGCTTTAGCAATGCAATCAGACTTGGTTTTTGCATATTGTATCCGCTGCATCAAGTCAAACAAGTGTAAGGCCATATACCCCCTCCATCCTAGAAAAGGTTCTTCCTTTGACTTGGCACACATATTAAAAAGCAATAACTTGAGTGGTTGATTCCTTTCATCCTTCCTTGAAAGGAAAGGGGAACCTTATCTAGGGACAGACAAAAAGTATATACAGAACCCTTTTGCGGGACAGAGGGAGTTTCATCTTCTGAGTTTATTGATACAATTATCTATATGATACAGAGTATTCTTCACAAAAGCATAACTAATCTATACACTAACCATTGGTTTTTCATAAAACGGGAAATTCTGCATCTGTCTCACTGCATTACTAGCAGCTGTAACTTCGCTGAAGACAACCCAGGCCTGCCCTCTAAGTTTAGTTGTTTTCAAAGCAACAATGTCCACTATTCTGCCATACTGTGAGAACAAACAATAAAGAGACCTCTTCAACTCTGCCAGAAATGATCAAATTGCATCAGTCCCATATTGTACAGACCAAACATAATTTTGGAGGAGCCTCAAGGGTGGGGGTCACATATATGAAGTTATAAAAGAATGTGATGCCCTATAATGTGATACTAAAATAGGAAGATTAAAGAATGTGATGTCATAAAATGTGATGCTGAAAATGAGAAGATTAGAGTATGTGACATTGTGACGTGATATAATGTGATATCATAAAAGAATGTGATGCCAAAACAAGAAGATTAAAAAAAAATTAAGTGACTAGAAGCTTGTGAGTCAAACAATGTGAACTGTAAATTATGATAACTATACACCTAATTGACAAACATAGAAGTATATTTCGTATTTCTACTTCACCCACTGACAACAGGAGTGGTTGTAAAATTTTGTATCCCTGGTTTGGGGATAATTGTGCAAAAGAAAACACCAAATGTTGCACAAGTTACATACAACAAACTACGATCAATAAAAGTTGGCTATATCACCCATCACTACAGGAACAAAATTCTTATAACCAAAAAACCACCAACAGTTGTTTGTACTTGCACAGGGCCATGGTTTTAAAAGGCTAAACGCACCTACGCCTCAGAGGCGTAAAAGCGCAAAGGCGCTATCAAATCGCCTGTAAGGCTTGAGCATCACCTTCCACTAACAAGGCTAACGCCTTTTTTTGCTGAGGCGGTGATGCGATCCCAGTGCGCAAGGCGTAATTGAGGCGTACGCATTTCACTAAACGCAACTTGGGCTCTTTTTTTTGAACTATTGGGCCTCGATTTTTTTTTTTAAACCACACGTTTATCTCTTAGGTAACACACGACATCCCTAGGTAACTATTTAATTACCTTCCACTACTACTATATTAAGAAACGGCTTGAAAAACTCTCTCAGTCGAAGGCTTGAAGCTGAGTACGTAGACTTCGATCTTTCAGAGTTGCTTTCATTCCAGATTTCCAGGTATTATTAAGTAAATATACTAAAATATCCCAACGACCACTTGTATAGAATATCCCACCGTGTACAGCATACTTCTATAGTTTCTTGTTGTATTTATTGTTTAAGTTAATTTGTTTTAAATTTTTAATTATTTAAAAGTTCAGGTTTGAAGTAAATAGTCTGCTACGTATTTAATGCTTTTTCAGCCAGCAAACTATAAAATATTCCACCGCCTCACTATAGTTGTTATGCACTTATGCTATCAAGTATTATGGTTGTCAACTTGTCATTCAATATTATTATTTTATTAATTTATTACTGTACTATTGGCCTACAGTTTAAACATCAAAGTGATCATAAAACTATCATTTAGCTTATTTATTTGTCCCGGAAGTTTAGTGTTTACGTTGGTTTGAGTTTTGACTTTGACATTTCAATTTTATGTTATTCTGACTTGGATGTTTTATAGTTATGTTATTTTTACTTGATTTTGTTTAGATGGGATATTCTTTTAAACATTTAAGCAATGATAAAATTAGTTAGTTTACTAATTTACTAGTCAAGATAAAATTAGTAGTTTACTAATTTACTTCAGTCAAGATTTAATTTTAATTAGACATGTTATAGTTAAGTTCATACAGTTTGATTATATTTTTTTTTAAAGTTGTTTATCAATTATTTAGTTATTTATTGTGAGTAATTTACTTAAATTCTTGTAAAAAAAATCATTTTATTCATAGGAGTGGGCTGATTACTCACGATGGTTAAACCCAGTAAGAATCAGGGAGAGGGGTCTAGCTCAAATAAGGATAAGGATCCTGCTTGGCAGTATGGAATTAAATTGAATCCTCCGGCAGGAAAGACTGGTTATGTATATGCAAAATGCAAATATTGCAATAAGGTGATCACCAGTGGAGTGGGGAGACTTAAAGAGCACCTTGCGGGAACACATAAAAATGTGGCGCCATGCAAAAGTGTTCCGGAAAATGTTAAAAAGGATGTGCTAGCAATGTTGAAGAACTATCAAGATCAGAAACACGTTAACCAGAAGTTTTTTGATGAAATGGTAGATTCTGGCTCGTACTTTGGAACTGGAGTAACTGGACCTCAACCGCGTGGGCCTATTGATCGCTTCGTTACTCGTCCAGGCAGTAGCTCAAGAGATGTAGCAAATGAGCAGGAAGTTGTAGAAGATGATATTCTGCCTAACAAAATGAGTAAAACTACCATGAGAGAGCGACGCAATCTTGTTTGTCAAGATGTGGGCAGATTTTTCTTTGAAAATGCAATAGCATTTAATGTAGCCCGCAGTCCTTCTTATTTTAACATGTTGCGTTCTGTTAGTAATTATAGTGCAGGCTTTAAACCCCCATCTATGCATGAGTTGCGGACGTGGATCCTTAAAGCGGAATATGATACCACGAACACATATGTGGAAGAAGTGAAGAAGACATGGCCGCACACCGGAGTTACGATAATGTCAGATGGGTGGAGCGACACAAGAAACCGAGGGCTTCTTAACATTCTTGTTAACAACCAATATGGTAATGTTTTCCTCAGATCTGTTGATGCATCGGATCGAGTTAAAGATGCAACTTATCTTTTTGAATTGCTCGACGGAGTAGTTGAGGAAATAGGAGAAAGTCTGGTAGTGCAAATCGTGACAGATAATGCAAGTGCATACAAAGCTGCTGGGAGACTTTTAATGGAGAAGAGGAAGCACTTGTATTGGACGCCATGTGCCGCCCATTGTATTGACCTCATGCTTGAGAAGATTGGAGAGCTGCCACAGAACAAAAATGTCTTGATCAAAGCTAAGAAGGTCACTAATTTTATCTATAATCGTGGATGGGTTTTGCAGCTTATGAGGAAGTTTATCGGGAAAGACCTAGTTCGTCCAGGCCCCACGAGGTTTGCTACTGCTTTCTTGACTTTAGATTGTATGGCCACCGCAAAAGAGCCCCTGCAAAGAATGTTTGTTTCTAAACAGTGGACTTCAAGTCGTTATGCAAAATTAGTTGAGGGGAAGGAGGTTAAAAAGATTGTGATGGATGACAGAATGTTTTGGCCTGGGGTTGCTTACTCAATAAAAACATCAAGGCCATTAGTTGAAGTTTTGAGGATTGTTGATGGTGATGAGCCTGCAATGGGATTCATCTACGGTGCTATGGATTCTGCAAAAGAAAAAATTGCAGAAAATTTTGGAAATCAATATTCCACTTAGTGAGATTTGGAAGATAATTGATGAGAAGTGGGAGCACCAACTACATCGGGACTTGCATGCTGCAGCGTATTATTTGAATCCCAGATTCAAATGGGAGGATGACTTCTCTACTCATGTGGAGGTTAAGAAAGGTTTGTATGCTTGTATGGAGAGGCTTATTTCTGATAGTAGTGATTTTAACCAAGCTGATGCACAAATGGATGAATATCGATACAAGCGTGGACTTTTCGGAATGAGGGCGGCTCAAAATTCATATAAAACACGTCCCCCAGGTAAACATTAAACTACATCTTTAATATCTTTAATGTTTATACATAGTGTACTTGTGTATTGTTGCAAAACAGATTTTTTTTTTAATTCTTTAACATTTTTTAGTGGAATGGTGGGATCAATTTGGAGATCATATTCCAGAACTACGGGCTTTTGCGGTCAAAATTCTTGGCTTGACGTGTTCTTCTTCCGCTTGTGAACGAAATTGGAGCACATTCAATCAAGTCCATACGAAGAGAAGGAATCGTCTTTCAGCCATTAAGTTGAATAGTTTGGTATTTATAATGTTCAACAAGAAGTTGAAGTTTAGGAAGAGCAGATTACAAAAGAAAGAGGATAATTTGATCTTCGATAATGTATCATCTGATGATGAGTGGATTGCTGAACCGAATGCAGATGATGGAGAAAGTGTGGATGCACGTGATGAACTTGCATTAGTTGTTGATGAAATGGACAACGAATTCAGAGGTTCATAACTTAATATTTTATTTTTTTGTCCCTTCAATATACTTATTTACACTTAACTTCCATTCCGTTTCATTCTATTTTTGTGACTTTATGTGTGTAGGGGTGGACCTTACAGTTGGAACTGAAGAAGATAATGAGGCCCGTGAAAATGAAGGAGATGACAATGAGAATGACATTACTAATTTGGATACTCATGAAGAGGACGATAGGCTTAGTTTTGAAGATTAATAGTTCCAATTTGTCAATTTGCAAACTTAAACTCCTAAACTTTTATTTTCTTGTCTTAGAATTTTAATGTTTTATGTTCTTTTGAGTTTTGACTTTGGTATTTCAGTTTTATATTATTTGGACTTGAATATTTTGTAGTTATGATATTTTTACTTGTGATTTTGTTTAGATATGTTATTGTTATGAATTATCTATACCTTCTAATATGTCATAGGCTTGTAGATACACTTAAGCAATTAAATTTCGGGGCTTACGCCTCGTTACGCCTCGAGGCTTACGCCTCGGAAGGCTACCCCCGAACGCCTCGAGGCCCGATTTCGCCTTTCAAAACCTTGCACAGGGCCACCCACTGATGAGTCTATGGTGACTTTTCTTCATGAGAAAATGTAGAACACACGTTCTTAATCACACAGCAAGCAAGTAACATACATGCTTCATGTATATGCAAATAAGGTACTACTGCAAGACTGAGCTAAACTGATATATCAAAGCTGAATTGTTAGGGTGCTAGAATAATCTGGTCAGAGTTATGTTATTTAATTTCCGAATACTTGAAACATGGTCATATACCATGCCTACTAGATTACCTACCCAGTCCAGTCCAAAACCTCAAGTTAATTGCCCTTACTTGACTTGGTGAGTTGTTTTACTCAATGAGTAAACTGACCGTGCCAAGAAAGTATTTTTTTGTTATATTAGAAAAGATTGAGAGTTTGAGACTAAAGATTAGGATACAATGGGAATGAAACAAAAAAGGGAATTTATCTTAGGGATTTTTACAAAAAATATTACTAAAATAAAACATATTTACACAAATATGACTAATACTTACTACAATGTAGTGTCATGGTAACTTAAGTTTAAAAATTGAACATAAGTTACTATAATTTCATTACTACTCTAGTCACTAGTCACATTTTACTAAACAATCTTTATTTTAGTCATAAATATATAAATATTTCTTTATCTTAATAAGAAAAAAGAAGGAACGCTAAAAAGAAATTGGAGCAGCAATTCATGGGGATAAAGCACAACAATGGAAATTAGAACTATGATCAAATTTAAGGGATGTTGAAAAAAATGATGATTGGGTTGTTCCAATGATGAAGCTTTTCAAGATCTTATCAAACAGGGTGATGATGTTGCTTGGGTTCACATTTGGGCAACACAAGAAGCCGTTGATGCACGGGTAAATGCAAGGAATCAAAATATATGAGAGAATGCATCATATGTCACAACCTGCATGTAGACTTCTTGATACCATTCTACAAAATGTGGGAAAGGATTAACAAGTGAGGAGTACAGGAACTGAAGATACCATTGTGGACAAGTAGGATAATGAAGATGACGTTGAATTATTGATCTTGAACCAAATGGTGATTAATTGGATATAAGTTGGAAATTTGGATTGATTAGATGATTGGATCTTCTTCAAATGTTTTTTGAATTATGCTAGTAATATCCTAATATATAAACTAGTAGTCTAACATTATTACAAATTTGTGGCATATAATTTAATATTTTTACTTATACAGGCCCAAGTAATCCACCATCACTCCCGTGCAATGTCCTAATCCACATTGTCTGAATTGATACTGAGTACTGATATTATGAGTTAGGGTTAGAGAGCCATCAATGTTGATTGTGATTTGCGTGAAGATATGAACCAAGCAAGAAGACAGGCAATTATGAAGATTTGTGGCGGATATACAGCAACTCCAATTCCCTAGTTTTAAGTTTATATGATTCCTTTCAAATCCTATATAGTTCATACACACCACAAAATCTGCCCAATGGGTCACAAGCAATACTTCTCATTCAACATCCTCGGGCGTAGGGAAATCAACGGCCACACCACCGGATACTTGCCTATTCAAGGACGCCTCCCCTTGGAGATCCAAAGAGTCAATTCTATGAAATGCAAAAGGTTCGGATATGTCCTACACTAGTACAGAGTCCGACACTATGCTTAAGAAAAGGTATTGGCTAAGTTTTAGTTGTTCAACCGACTACATGAGTAAATTGAGAGTAGCTAGTAGTTCGAGATGAAGATAGCAGTTCGAAATAACTCAATAACCCTAAAGCCGAATCTGTAGAGAAGATAGTAGAGCATATGTGTAATACCTTCCTTCTTGATCTTCTCATTTAAGTTCTTAATGTATATCGTTTGATTCGGCGGTATGTCGCCGGTGAGCCTCATCGCCAGCTACCTCCCCACCTCGCTGCTACTCAACTCGACGGCCTTCTGAGTGTGGAGTAGCTTACTGTGTTTCCGTCACAATACGAATTGGGCTCGTAATCAATCAATATAATTGGGCCATAAATTTCCTTACGGATCAAAAAGCAGTATAAACTGAGTATGCTAAAGGCTTAAAAAGTAAACAAAAAACAAAAATTAGACCTGGCAAAAAAATGGACGAGTAATGGCAAAAATTAGACCGGATTAAACTTAAACAGATCAAATTATACTAGATCATGCCTTAACATACTAAATCGGACTAGATCAGACTTCGTTAGTTATAAAATACACAAAGACCAATGGCATGTTTACTACCAGAGATATTTTCCAGTTTTCTATTTCTGTTTTCCGTTCTCAAATTCTCTGTTTTCATTTTCCAATTTTCTATTTTCATTTTTTAGTTTTCCATTTTCATATCTGAAAACATCTTCATCAAATTTTTTTCACCCGATTCTGTGACCGACCAGAAGACGGAAAGTACGGTCTCATTCCGAAATCAAACCTAGTACAACCCAAGTAGGGTACCAGGTCAGGATGGGGGCCGTCGGGTCATTGATCGGACAGGATGGGAACCGCCGGGTGGTTGACCGGACCGGACGGGGACCGTTTAGTCATCGATCGGATCGGACAGGGACTGCAGGGTCATCAACCGGACCGGACCGGGATCGTTGGGTCGTCGACCGGATCGGACCGGGATATATCAGCAGTCGACCGGGGCGGACAGGGACCGCTAGGTCAATGACCAGACTAGGCCAGTAGGCCGCTGAGTCGTTGATCGGACCAGATAAGGACCGTATGGTCGTTGATCGGATTGGAACTGACACCGGAGCGGGACCGTATCAACCATTATGTGTAAGTATGCAAATTCATTGCAGCGGTGGTGCAGCATCCCCGTTTTCCAAATTTGAAAAAACTAGTAAAAGTCATTTCTCCAATTCATTAAGGAAAAGAGAGACATATTTCATTTTTTTAGTTTTGTAAAACAATTTGGTAAACACATTTTTCTGTTTTTCTTTCTCCAGTTTTCCATCAATTTTCTTTGGTAAACACGTTTTCTGTTTTCTTTTTTCTAGTTTTCCATATTTCTAGAAAACTGGAAAATATCTATGTTATTTAACCGACACCAAACATCTACTAACTAGACCAAACCAGATTTAAATAGATCAGATAAGACCAAATCATAAAGATTCAGTCCAAATGAAACTTGTGACAGAACCGGTTCAACCTGTCATTCAAATGGACGAGTCAAGCCCGCCTTGTACCATGCTTGGGCGGTTCCAGATATTAACATACTAGTATTTAGGGATGGACTCGGTTCGGGCCGGGCCCGGTTCGGGCCTTGAACCGGCCGGGCCTCGGTACAAGGTATGGGAGGCCCGGAACCGGCCCGGGTAACCCCTGGGTCCGGGCCGGGCCTCGGTTCTATTTTCTTTTTTTTTTGGCTTTTCCTAGTTAACCCCCAACCCTCCCCCTCACCCCCAAACCAACCCTAACCACCTCAAATGGCCCAAAATACCCAGCCCAACCCAAAAACTTAAAAAAATTCAAAAAAATGGCCCGGCCCGGGCCCGAACCGGCCGGGCCGGTTCACCTTTTGAAGGGCCCGAGCCCGAACCGAGAATCCACCGGGCCGGGTGGCCCGAACCGGCCAACCAACCGGTTCACCGGGCCGGTCCGGGCCCGCACAGTAGCGGGCCGGTCTGGTTCCGGGCCAGTTGGCCCAGCCCGAGTCCACCCCTACTAGTATTGCCTCATGTCGCCCAGCCCCACCCTCCCGAATATATATAAAAATACATATATATTTCTAATATTGTTTTACAACTATAGGTAATCATACATACACAGATATATAATTATATGTGTATGTATTAATTACAAGAAAAATATTATAGGTACCCATTTTGGGGTACTCCATTTTTACCCCCTATTGTGGCTCAAATGAGGCAATTGATTTAAATGGTGGCCTCATTTGAGCCACATGAAGGCTGGGTAAAAATGGGGTACTCCAAAATGGGGTACCCCAAAATGGGGTACACCAAGCACAACTATCTAATTACAATTTCTTTGATCTTATAACATTAGTTTGTCCCATAAAGAATTTCTTGTTTGTGTTTTAGAGCATCCCTAAATAAAGTCTTCCTCCTTAATTGAATAACAAACTCCCTTAAAACACTTTGTTCTTCAGTAATATTTACTCTCATTGAAAAAGCATTTCAGAAAGTTAAATAAAAGGTCCTTGTTGAGAACTGAAGTACTGAACTGGTTTCAAAAAAAAAAAACTGAACTTATGTTCATCCTGATGTCACACGTTTAGGGTTTGATTGGAGAGCTGTGGATGTGTGGACTGGTAGTGTGGTATATAATCCATAGTCCGTACAATGTCATTTGGTTCGTTTTGTTCTATTGATTTTTTCATCCATCTTAAAGTGCATATTCACATTCGTCATTTATCTCTACCTCACAAATCCAATGTACTATAAACAAATGTAAATACAGTGTGGGCATATTCATTCCTTTCGGTTGTATAAAAATAATACTGCATACTCATCAACATGACTGTTTTCGCTTTCATGTGCCCAAAAATGAGAAGGTGACTTGGAACTTGGAAGACAACATTGATAGTTTTCTAATACAATCTAGTTATTATTGTAAAGATACAAGGAGTCAAGGAGTTAATCGTCAAAACTGCGAAGCCACGTAACTCTGCCTTGCAAGCAACCCTAACACGTCAATAAGGTTAAACACGGTCATGGCTGAAATTCAGTTAGGAACCATCCTGATAAAGGACCGGCGGCTCTCTCTTCCCCTTTAGAAGAAGACAAAAGATCATCAGAAAGGTGATTGGCACAAGGGGCAAGTTGACTTGTGAGAGGTGGAGAACCACTTATAGAGGCAAGCCGAGTGGAACTTGTGCTTGCATGTCTTGCAAGCCAGACGTGGAAGACTATGGTTGGACGTATGGATGACACTGTAACATATCGGGCATTCTTCAACCCCTTCAAACTCCTTGTCGAAATTGCTTTTCCATATTTGTATTGCTTCCGCCAAGGCTCCATTCTTTTGAAGTGTATACAAAACAACAAACAAAACATCAGTCATCATTCACTCTTCATGAGTTAGTTTACACTTGTGAACTATATAGGCAACACAATTACATGCCTCTCTAGGCGTAAGGACATCTCAGAAATTTACTAGCTGTAAATTTAGGGTGAGTGATATTAAAAAAAATTGTTCAGGAAAAGCAAGGCCTTACCTGAAGTGTTCTTAAAATGTAGGAGTACTTTTTTTGGTTTTAAAATGCTGCGATTTCAAAATTATGTGTTGAAAAATCCCTTTAAAGGTAAGACACTTTTTTTAATCAACTTAATCAACGCAAGAGCTTTTACACATTATGAATAGTCACTTATAATTAACCCTCAAACTTATTTCCAGGATAATTTACAATAAATGACTAAAACCGCTTGGTGCTTGGTTTTGCAGACACTTCACTTAACAATCAAATTTGCCCTTAAAATCCTGAATTTGCTTTTGAAAAAGAAAGAAAGCTCATGAAACATGACTCTTTGCAATGGAGGGAGTAATCCACATTATAAAATGTCTTATATTAACAACATTTTTAAATACGTCTTTTGTTCAAATGGCTGAAAGGGGAAAAGCATTGGTTGATATTCCGGATTTGGGTCCAAACATAACAAGACATCTCCATGTGAGCTCTTTCCAAAATACGCCACTAAACACTTGCAGCATGAGTTTTTACTCAAATTAATGTTTTGAAAACCAAAACGCTTCGCCAACTCCAGTCCCTTCAGGGAAATTATAGCCTAACAAGTTAGGGAATAGAGAATGCAATTGCGCAAAAATATATTCTTGCACAACCCAACTTGTGAGAGGACAATACCTGATTACGAACAAATGACATCATTGACATTAACCATTTTCTTTTCTTCACTTCACTAATACCAAGGCTCCGGGTGCAGTCTACATCAACTGATCGCAATGGATAAGATGCAGGAAGACGAATTACAAGATCCATTCCTGTTTCATCCTTTGTGTAGGTTGCCACAACTTCATTGGCAGATTTACTAACACTGACTGAGAAGGTATCATCAACAAACTTTGCTTTCTTGATCTGCAGTGAGAAAAATAGCCATATCAACTTATTTTGCAGAAATAATTGATGAATTAATAGCTCTTATCCATTTTGAATCTCTGCATGGATAATGAATTTGACTGCTATGTTATTTGGAGACAAACAAATGTCTCACTCCATTATAAGCTAATTGTCACTGAAACAAAATTTTGTTACAAAATATGTCCCTTTTTTCAAGAAGAATTAAATATGAAGTACTTCTATCATACTTTGGCATTCTATTAAGCTTTGTGATAGATATCAATTAATGTTAATTTGTTATTAAAGGGCAACGTGATTATGTTATGCACATAACTAATACCTATAAAATGAGTTCCTTGTTTGGCGTGAAACAGACTCAAACGATAGATATATTGAAACGGAGGGAACAAATAGCTCAGACTTGAATACCTATTAGTTCATGCCAATATGAAAAGTTCACATGAATTTCACTTTCATTTTCTATGATAGTTTACTAAATCTCTTGGCTCTCTTTGAGAGATCCTTTGACAGAATCAGAGCTGGGGGGAAATGTACCAGTAGGACTAAAACGCATGTTCTTTTTAGTATTTACTAATGCATCCTTTGAAGAAGAAAACAAGAGAGCTTAGCCTTTGTCTGGTTAAGGTGAAATAGGAAAGAAAGAAATAAAGGGAAACAAGTACTATAGAAATGAAGAGTTCATCATGTTTAATGAGAAGGAAAAGGAGGAGGGGAGAGAAAATGTCAGGCCCACATTCTTTTAATTCCTTCTCTCTTGGAAAGAGATTATGATGAAAATTCGTGAAACCAGTGTCACGTGCAGCATACCTGAGAGAGTTCAACTGCAATGAGAGGTGGGCTACAATATGATTTGGTAAAGAATTCGACAGCAGAAGATGTAGAACGGTCACGTATACCATTGAACCACCTCCGAACATATGCTGGTAGAGTTTGAAGAATGAGACCAAATATTGCACCGGCAAGAGAAGCAACCTTCTCTGGCCCAGTGGGCCAAAGTGATTCCAGGGCAAAAACAGCTGAGCTACAATTGATGGCATGAGTAGCAGCTCTGGCCGCTTCCAATATTGAAGCAGGAAGTTCCTGATCCTTCTTTTTCACAGCTGAAGGTGCACAAAATTCCAAAGGAATGTGCTGGAAAAGGCAATCCAATATTGTTGCTGAAGCCGAATCTTGAATGTATTGGACGACTTTCTCCCTTGAAGGTGATGATGACGGTAAAGAAATTAGATGTGAGAGCAACAAAGACCAAGCAACAAAGACGTTGATCTGTAATATTTTAGCATATGTTAGAAAACCATAGCTACTCAGAATTTCAGATAACAAGATAACATTGAATACACCGCAGATCCTAACTATTATAAGGCGCCTCTAAAAAGGGGTCAATGGTCCATTCTATAAGACATTGTTTTTTCCTATGAAGCATTTATACTAAATATTTTGTTCATGTTTACTTTATTAGAGTATCATTCCCAAGGCATAATTATGAAATTGAAATAGCACAATAGTTTTTAGGAACTTAAAATTCCAAGTAAGGGACTGAAGGGGGTAGATCATAGTCATAGAGCAATAGATGAGAAAAAAGAGTTATAAACAGAAGTAACTGACTCGTTCAGGTGACAGCAAATCTGTCTCAACAACTTCAGTTGGATATTTTTCCAGCATGTAGGAAATTTCTTCCCTAAGATGAACATTAAATTCTTCAGAAAATGGTTCAAGACTACCATCCCGATTATTGGAGGCATCTCCATCCAATGAATCTCCTTTATTATCAGTGACAAAAGCAAAGTGTGATATGGGTTCTGTAGAAAGAACAACATAAGCAGCAAACTGTAGGGAAGGAAGTGGCTTGGTAGAGAAAAGCAGAGCAAAAAGAGAGCTAATTGGTCCTTTACTTAGCCCCCAAATTTCAACTGACTTAACCGCCTTCTCTCTTGCTCGTGAAGAGGATTTGACAACACTTGAAGCAACTAAATCCCAAAACTTAGATTGATCAAGCCGAGAGGATGTTATAATGGATGAAGCTTCAGAACAAGTAGAACTTGCTAACGCCTCAGTGGCAGCTGTGGAAAAAAATAAACGAAGTATACCTTCTAGAATCCGATCTAACACTATCTCCCATTTATCAATCAAGGGACTAGACTTCTCTGTGTCCTCATTCTTTTGGTGTTCAATAATTTCCCAAAATAGGGAAAACCCAACAAGAGCATTTCTAGCAAGTTTGAAAGCGGAGGGATTTATAGATGAAACAGTATGTTCAAGCATCATCGAAGTCATTTGCAAGTCCATGGATTTTGAAGCGTGGGTTATAGCGTCATTTACGTTCTCAGCAACTTCTTCCATCGCAACAACTGCTGGTTCAATCCAACGCCTCAAATGATAAATAACGAATTCCCAATCTTCTTCAGCAAAGTCTTTCCAACAGTAAGCAACGGAGACAAGTATTAACTTTGATAACAAAATATCCACAATTGGCAGCTTATTCATAGAAGATGATGCATCAATACTCAGTCTTTGCTTACGAAATAATTCAACCAAAAGCATCTTCTCCTCAGAACTGGCATACCTTTCTGTGCTAAACCTTTTCTCTCCTTCCACCCTTCTTATGGGGTAACATGACATTACCAGGTCAAACCAATCCTCCATGTCTGTAGATAAATAAATTAATATATTTATTAGATCTACAATTGAAGCAGGATATTGCTAAACTTCTAAAATTAAGACATAATTGGAGGTATCAAACTGCCATTAGCCTGTACCTATAACACATTTATATGTAACTCAGTACTCCTATTATATTTACATATGAAGCCTAATCCACAGTTAAATTAGTGCTTAGTAATTATGAAAGGAACTTTGCATCCACATACATCCTGGTAGTAAGTAATAGTAATATACCTTCTCCTGTTAGCCACATATTCAACGGCGGAAACAATAGAATCTGCTTCAGCCAGTCCATCATCACCTCTTGCATTTCAATGCGCTCGGATGAATCAGACAGAATTCTTGCATCAACTTTGTCAAATACAATGCTCAAGGGCTTAATGAGGACATCAACAATTGATGGAAGCATCTTCAAGCAATTTACATTTATTGTTTCACCAATATAGAGTTTGGATAGAACTAATTTAAAATAAAATATAGCCTTTTCCCCATCCCATATATTCTCCTCAAAAAGAGTAAGCAGCAAGGACAAAAGAGCTCTTAAGAATGGATCTTTAATCATGTCCACCTCATCAAGTGTAACAGACCATATTGTGGGCAGACATGACCTGCAGCTTCCTCCATGAACAAGAGCACCGTCAAGAAGGATGGTGACAAGGGAATCCAACAAGCCAGCTTCGGGACTGCAAGTCTCACTCTTCACATAAGCAACCAAGGAAGGTAAGAAAGAACTCAGCACACTGCCACCAGGCCAACTCCATGTGCACAATACTTCTCCAGCCAGCCAGGCACGTGAAGGTAGGGAAACTCCACCAATAAACTTTTGATAGCCGAATTTTGATAAAAGCTTGACAATAAATGAGACAAACATGTGGTCTTCGGAGGACTTCACCTGCAAAAAGTCGTCACACTACCATTTCTAAGTAAATAAGTTAAAGTATGTTTCAAGCATATTAAACGGTCTATTCATAATGATGCGATTTCCCCCCACTCAAGATATGGCTACCATAGATTATCAAGAAGACTTCAAAGAAAACCTTATTATCATCTCAGATATAGAGCTGCAACAAAAATCACAGCAAGGAATCCAACTTACATCAAAAGAAGAGATTTCCTGGTTCGAACAACCTATTCTTTCTCTGATGTTTGAATTTGGAAGAACCCAATGAGGCCATGAATCACTCTGGAAAAAAAGACTGTCAATCAGCTTTTGTTCCTCAGATTCCTCTTGACATAGACACTGAAAAAGTTCATTGATCCAGTTGCAGCAAGTTGATGTGATTTTTTCATGGTCTGAGATATCTTCCTTAGTGACAGCACTTCTTACACAGTGCAGCAAAATGCTCTCAAGTCTCTTCTGGGTATTTGCACCAAGGCTCATTAAGAATTCACGGTCAATTTTGTTGCGCAACGAAGTCACAGATTCACACGATGACAGTCCTTTTCCAATATTTTGTTTATTTTCTTCACCGAACTTATCAAGTAACACTGTCTTCATGCTACATTCCCAATCAATCACAAAAATCGCAGATAGTAGTCCTGAAATTAGCCAAACCTCATCAGTAAGAAGCTTTAGCAATAACAAACCACCATCAAGTACTTGAAATGCAAAATGAGCCATATCATGAACATCAATAGAAGATCCAAATCCCGCATCAGACTCGGCCACTTTGACGGTTATCAATGAGTATGCATCTTTAACCCATGCAAATGTAGAATTTTTCATAAAAACCGTCAACTTCCTAAGTACTTCCTCAAATATTTTAATTGTTGCATCCGTGGACAGGAATGAAGATCCACCATCTCCCACCATCCTACCAAGAGCTGCACTGTAACAAGTTGACAATAAAATAAAGAATGAGCAATACAAGGAAAATCAGTTCACAGACGCCATTAATTACATATGATAATGGGGAAGAGCGGCAATCTTACTTTTAATAAAACAGAAATGGGAAAGAGAATATATGATAGTCTGTTGCGCAAAAAGCAACATAATATAGTTTCATCACCTACCACACAAAACGTGAACTGCCTGCTCCAAAAGAAGGAAACTCACGGACAACTGTAACAGCAGTTGAATCCAAAAGTTTATGATGCCAACTTGCCGCACAAGAGCCTTTCAGATGGCCAACACTTTCAATTCTTTCCATTGCTTTCTCAATAAGCACAGCCAACACAGATATGCTGTCAAAGTTCGAATTTGTAGTGGTCTTTTTAAGTTGTTCTAGATTTGTTGCATGAGAAATGATCATATCCCACTGTTCTGAAAAGCATTGTTCATCAAGTAAAGCAAGCAAGAGATCCAGTCGTGCCCCAGTAGAGCTCTGATCTAGTAAGCACCATCGAATAAAAGTTACACTGAAAGCATGTAAAAACTCTTCCCTTCCCAGCCTTGAACCTGAAAGCTCTTCTACTACCTTGTGAGGACCAAATATTTGGACAATTTGCACTACAAATTTAACTGAATACAGGGAATCCTAAAAGCAACAACATAAAAAATGAAGAATAAGATGATAAGATAAATTGAAAGTTTTAGAAAACGACGTAGAAGAACAGCAGTTCATTATGTTTCTCTTTTCTTCTTTTCAGAAGGAATAACTTACATGTTCCTTTATAAATGGGAAACACTTGGCCAAAGTTGGTCCAACCAGATCAGAGAAAGGCCAAGTTTCACTTTTCTGCACTACTTGCCGGTCCAATAATAACAAGAACTCAGTCAATCGGTTTGCCTTTTCTACATGCTTACTGGAGCTGTCTGGCAACTGAAATATATCCAGGCATGTCTCTTGAAATGCAGAACAGAAAAGCAAGAGCATATTATGTTCTAGGCAATATATCCCTGACAGAATCTCAATGATACAATTCCCGAGATCCTGTAAATACCCTGCAGAACTGTTTCCATTGAAGTCTGCTATGGGTCGCAGTTTAAAAGATGAATCGGTGGAAGCATTGTCTTTATCCTTTGACTTCTCAGAAAGCAGGTAATCATGCCACAACAGCTTGATAAGTATCTGATCAGTTAGACTGCAAAGAAAATTGTTTATGTCATCTGCTCCATTGAAGTATCTGGTGTGAAGAACATAAAAGAAGTCAGAAGACAAGATATTCAAGCATACATGAAGTACATGAACATACAGGTTAGGTGTTATAGTTCTGAAATGCATGTCGTACAAGGTACCGTGAATAAAAAAGTTAAGAAGATTCTACCTTGAAGAATTTCTGAAGACCCAAAGAAGACACTCTATTATGGAACAAAAGAAAGCTTGACGGTCTACAGTTGAATAACAAAAACGCTTTCCTGCCCAAAGATTTTGAAAAAACTCAAGTAGAAATTTCTGCCCTGCAACAGCCTTAGGAGGTATAACATCTAAAAATAGAATAAGGGCAGGGTAAGATGCTTGTTGAGATCCAAAGCAACCACTCTTTAGAAATTGCCAGAACCTATTCAAAACAGTTTTCTGGACATTCAGGTTTGTCCAGCTTTCTGGAAATGTTCTAGAAAACGTTAAAACCATCTCCCACATTAATGAATGGCATGACGGCTCCTTTTCCTGGAAAGCCCCTAGTATTATTGGTGCAAGGTTTTTAATGTTTGCTTCATCAATAACACTAGGAACATTTTGTATGAAGCTTCTTATCACTGAATACACGGCTGATCTAATAGCAGGTATTTGAGATTTCAAGAAATCCAGAAAACACTTTTGAGTGGAGAACAACTTTTCAGCATATGATATAGCTATGTCCTTGGCTTTTGTTACTCGTTTTAACTCAGCTTCTGAAGCAGGCCTTTCATATTGTGTTCCGATTACAATGTCAAGCAGGGTAGCCAGCGCAAAAAGTGATGAAATTGTGACCTGGAGTGCAGTTAGAAATAAAACAGATTAATGGCCAAAACAAATCAAACTTGGAGGAGAACCATAAGTGTGAAACCCAACTCCTTAGAAATAATACTCTATGAAAACATGCATAGAGTAAGCTGGAAATAACAGGTAAGTCATTAAGTGGAAGCGTTGTTCCTCTTACCGGCAATAATTTATAGAAAATCATATACCAATGAATATTACCTGCCGATGCATCTCTTCCAATTCATCTAGTGCTGTCATTTTTTCTGACATGCTCTGAGGATTAAGCTTCAGGTTCTCTTCTATGTACATAAGTATCTCAGACAAGCATAAAAGTAAAGCATCTAGTCTCTTTTCTTGTGTTGGGAAAGCTGCCTGTGTTATATTCATGAAAAAACATAAGACCAAAGAAAGCAAAATTACAAGAAATGAACTTATGAGTAGGTATTAATATCAACATAGTTCAGACAATTCAGCTACAAAATTTCTCCTGATTTCCAGTATTTCCATTTTCCAAAGTGTCACATGAAACAGACAATAAAATGCCCTTAGTAAAGGCACATTTCAGTTTGTGCTACACTTTGAATGGTATATAAGGAACCTCCTGTCCCTTTGGCACAACTCAGTTCGAGCTATTCAAGATGGATTAGGCGATAATAATGATTAATGAGTAATGACTCAGTAAAACTACTATCTATAGAAGACCTGAAAGGAGCACTTCGCAGATTGCGAAACTTCAACAGCTGAATCAAATTGAGAAAGCCACCATGGTCCCATCAAAGACTTCAAATGTGGAGCCAAGTCTCTTCTGGAGGTGTAGCAAGAAGAGGAAAATCAAATGAATTGGCAAAGCTTACTTATCCAGCATTCTATAGATACATGGAGCACATTCAGTCTTTGATTTTTTTTAAATAAGAACATCACAATTGTACATAATTGTTACATATTTGTTACAAATTTGAAGCACACAAATTGGATACATTCTAGGATCTAAGTAGTTAATCTGTTACTTGGCCGCTACTCGTCAAAGGCCAAGCAGCAATTAGGACCGATTACTTAGGAGTAGTCAGCCATGCATTAGTAAAAAATGCTACAATGTTCTAATAACATTAATATTATAAGAATTATATATATAGGAAAGATCAATAGATCTCAATAATTTGGTGCAAGATCAACATTGTATCCATCTCATTCCATGTTCACAAATATTTTTGAGTGAGAAATTAGAGTTTTATAATTATTAAAACCTAAAATAGTCATTTCATTTTCATTTACCCCAGTGCCGCAAAGGCTCCCACCTACGGTGGGGTAAGGGGGGGTCGGATAATGACCCGTTTTTTGTTTTCAAGCTTTCATATTAAACGACGACATAGTTACTCTCCAAGTAACCAGACTCACCGCATTGCTAAAAATCTAAAATCTCAAAATATTCATCAAGTAACTCAATAAACAATCTATACCCTTGCTAAAATCGCCGACTACTAACTAGTAAGTGGATTTTTTAATCAGACGTGGTAGGTAAACAACTCGGTAAGGTCTGGGGCCGAGTCAGTGAGTACTCAGATTAAATTAAATAATATAGTAAAGCATGATTGCTGCAAAAAGCATGGGACCCATTGTCTTCCCACACATCCACTCTTTGACACTTGTACACTTTTTAGAGGAAAGGGTGGAGTTTCCATTAATGGAACAATTGGATCTGTCTACTTTATTAACCACTGTAAAACTGATTAAGAACTAAACAAACGATTGAATCACAACACTGTGGTATCTCTAAATATTTAGGAAAAGCTATTCACCATGAGAAAGGTAATGGACCAAATCATAAAGAATTCAAAACACCGAAAAAATTGGTGACGCCAGTATCAAGAAGAAGAAGAGGAAGAAAAGAAAAATAGTTCAGCAAACGACATACACTGCAAAACTTAAGAAACCCAAAACCTCATACAATTATAATTTATTTCTTGTATCATACTTCCTCCGTTCTCTTTAGTCGATCCCTATCAGTTGCAACATTCCCATTTTCACGTTTGCCAATGCACAACTTTGACAGCCATTATACTTAACTTTCTATTAGTAAAAACAATTTAAAAACAGATTATGAAAATTTGTGATGAGACGAAGTCAACAATATTTTTCAAAAATAAATAAATAATAATTTTCATACATTTATTTAAAAAACGTAGTCAAAGTCGAGCATGTGAATAGTGTAAAACTTTCCATGTTGCAACAAAAAAGAAACGGATGATAGTATATTTCAAGTATAAACCGCAGTTGAGATAAAAAATATTTGTTATAGGAAGATATAAGATGCAAACCCGACAGTGTTGAAAAGATTACTCATGGTTTCATGAGTCGCCCGTCGAACCTCTCTATTGTAATCCAGCAACAACTTCTTAAATTCAAATGCCTAATCATAAAAGCTATCAGCACATTAAGCCATTGGTGTTGAGGTGTGTAAGTGTGTGTGAACTGTGTCTAAATATATGAATAATATGTTGACAATGCCACCAAAGATAAGTTGTAATAAAATTGAGGTACATAAATTTTTTTCCAAGTAAAAAGCATACCCATTGTGGAATAATAGGTACTATCTCCTTTGAAGTTTTCTGTTTGAACATTTGAGACAGTGACGTCAAGGCTTTTAGCTGAGAAGAATAAGAGATTGCAAACCTTAGTGAAGGACATAAGAACAAATATTGATACATGATATACGATTTTTTAGATTGAAGTGAAGGTAGACATATTTAGGGGTGGGTTCGGTTCTTGCGGTTCGGTTTTGACCTAAAACCAAATATAGAATCAAAGTAAAAAGTTCGGTTCGGTTTCGGTTCGGTTCTACACTCCAAAACTTGGAACCACGGTTTAATTGGTTTGGTTTGTTTCGATTCGGTTTCGGTTTTTTCGTTTTTTTACCAAAAAATTATCATTTGATTTAAAATTGATATAATACTTTGAGGGATCAAACATATATTACATAAAGAATGCAAGCACACTACAACAAATAAAATAAAAATGAAAATAAATCAGGTGCTAATGTGCTATCAAAAGACTAGCGGGTCTAAGTGTTTAAAATCCTAATACTCTGATTGCTAGTTCAACCTTCACAAAAAGTAACTCGATAAGTAAAAATTGATCAAGTGTTGCAGTGACACATTACTTTGGTGGTGGGATCCTTTCTTGCAAGCCTTTTCAAGTGTTGTGCCAGCTCACTATCAACTACCTGTGTGTCCAATTAGCAAACTTTTTCAAATGCATACTTGTCAAAACAGCATTAAGTCCATCAATGATAGCATGGAAAATGAAAATCAGGTGCTAATGTGCTATCAATTTTACACCAACTAAAGTATAAATAAATGCAAAATGCCAAAGAATGAATAATAAACTAAATAAACCAAATCCGAAAGCATTGGCAGTTGATTCTGAATTCTAGCAAGACTTGCTATTGAACATAATCAAACAACTCCAACTCTTAGTTAAATAAGCCTGAGGAAACATGTATAGTGTGGACTATGATATGCATAATCCCAGTATGACCATTCCCAGTAACTGCCATTTATAAACAATACAGTACACACTTTATAGTGAATACAGAGTATTACTTTTTAGGGGAATAAAAGAGAGACAATATTCCGTAAGTACCACGAAAGGAGCAGCATCTTCTGTTGGCAAGGAAGACTCAACGCGGGAGCTACCTACGAAGCCACCGAATCCTACTGTTATTGCACCTTGTGGCAATAGAGACGCAGCTAAACTGAAAGGGCATAAAGAAGAGTTCTCGTTTCACTTTTGATTGAATGAAATAATAATAAGCATGAATAAAAGGGTAAACATAATTATGTGATTGAAGATGAAAACCTGCTGCTAGAGGTACGAGACTTGCTTCTAGCTCCATCTCCCTTCGTCCGCCCCATTTGCGTGAGTAGTTGATTCTTGATTCTTTCTTTTGTTCTGTCTTATAAATTCGATTTGCTTGTGGTTTTTCCACAACCGTCCCCGGAATACTCCGCAGGTCAATACCGCCGGTACGTGAGCTCCCGAATTTGACCGAAAAAGAGAAGATCTTTGCCAAGTTGCCTGACCGGGGTTTGATCCTGGTATCGTAGCAGCAAGGCAAATTGTCTTGAACTTAATTTATATGCTGATTACGAATTTACAGATTTACCCTTCCTTACTAGAATCGTTTATTTCCCGTCTCCCTTTATTCGAGGGAAATTGTTTCTGAATGGCATTTTGTGTACACACCTTGTGTACACAATCTTACACACACGTGTAGTCATGTCTGTGTGTAAGATGTTTGTGTGTAAGAGTGTGTATACAAAGGATATGTTTGGCAAATGGCTTATCAGACAGCTTTTAGCTTGTTTGACCCATTTCAACTGTTTGATTAGTCAAAGAAGTTAATAATAATGTTTGTTAAATGGCTTTTAAAATTAGCTTGTTGAGTTTGAAAAGCTGAAAAAATGGATTGTGGAAGAAGCTAAGGGGAGCAGCTTCTTCATTTGGCTGGTTCAATTTACACTCTATCAGCCATTTCGAAAGAGCCAATTTTACCAAACAGTTATTTATAATCAGCCAACATAATCAGTCGGTCAAAACAGCTAACACAACCAGCTGTTTCGAAACAGCTGACACAACCAGCTACCAGCAACAGCTAACAACCATTTACCAAACAAGGCCAAAGTGTGTATCAATAGATTTTTTCATTGTTTCAGAGTCCCCCTAAGAAGTTCTATCAAATGATTGATGTTAATGGTCTAGTTTGGTTTGATTCGATCTCAAACCGAAATAAGTTCAAATAAAAATATTCAATTCTCGGGGACTCGAAACAATATATGTGTGATAAATGTGAAATTTCGATTCTGTACATCGAGTTGTGTAATATTCCATCCATCTCCCATATTATTGTCTCAGTTCTTATTTAATTGGTTAACACTAATCATTTTTAAAATCTTTATATATCAAATTTTATCAAATTTGACTCTGGTTTTTGCGATTTTTTTAAAATTTTAATGTAGTTTCTGAATATGTAATTTTTTTCTAAAAATAATTTGAGTGTGAACAGGGATTAGTTTGCTTTATCATCGATCAAACATCGTAAACCGCAATGAGACAATAATAGGGGAACGTAGATAGTAATAAACAAACAAGGTTGAAGTTACTTTGTTATTGGATTGGCTGGAATTATTGTAGAGAGTCATTTTAACTATTTTCATTTAATTTTTTATGTATTTTATCAAAAAAAATGTTTTAAATAAAAAATTTATAGGTTAGCAGAATCAGACAATTCAGTCACTTCAGCCAAACTTCATAAATTTCAGCTGATTCAATCAATTTCAGTGTTATCGAACAGGGGCAGTCCTGGGTGGTGGGCAGGGGGGCAGGATACATGGCTCAAAAAAGTGAAAAAATTTAGTCCCATAATTTTTTCTTTATATTAGGTTTGAGTAGACTGAGTTTTTAGAGTTAAACTACTACTTTTGTCCGGCCCAACAACCCAAATGCCCAAGAATACGTAGCAGACTAACAGCTCGTTGCCTATTACCGGAAGTTGCTGAGTTATAGGAGATTTATTTGTGGCATATTTCTTTTATGTTAAAGAATCATTTCTTAATTATTGTAGTGGTATTATTTTAGGATTCTTCCTCCTTTTATGAGTTAACTGATTCATACATATCGGATAATTATTTGAAAATGCTGCAAAATGTTTTACCGTATGACAAAGACATTATTCTTCAAATTCTTGAGTTTGTGAAGACTATGAATGTTTTTACTTGGACTGTAATTTGTTGGTCTGGTCTGAACTGGTCTGGTCTGGTCTGGTTTCTTTGTATTTTTATAATTATCCAAGTCTAGTCTGGTCGGAACTGGTCTGGTCTGATCTGGTCTTGTCTGGGAGGAATTACAGTCCAAGTAGAAACATTTTATGAGTTGCTATATGAACACAACAATTGCTTATAAGATATTATTGACAATACCGGTAACTGTGGCCACTGCGGAAAGATGTTTTTCAAAGTTGAAGATTCTCAAGAATTATCTGCGATCAACGATATCTCAAGAAAGACTTAATGAATTAGCTATGTTAAGCATTGAACATAATGTGTTAGAAAAGCTTGATTATGAAGCTATAGGTGATGACTTTGCTTCACAATGTTCAGCAAAGAATGTATTTAAGTAAATTTTTATTTGGTTATTTCAAAAATGTTTATTTTAATATATGAATTCAAGTATTTTCTTTATTATAAAGTTTTTCAAATATTATTATTTTACATGTTAATTTAGACAAAATCGAGTTTTATACTTTTTTAAAAAATAGGCCTATTTTAAATTATTCACCCCTAGGCCTTCAAATATACAGGGCCGCCCCCGTTATCGAATGATCTCTAATTGTATATATTACGTAGTATATCAGTAATTGCTTAAAGTTTATTCCATTTAGCTAAAAATGGACAAGGTCAAAGATAAGAAATAATTACACATATGACTAAAATAAACGTTATTTTCAAAAATGTGACCTCCTAAATATAGTGACTATTGTAATAAATAATAATTTAGTTATAGTAACTTATGTTCAATTTTTACACTTAATTAACTATGAGACTATAATATAATAATTATTGGTCATGCTTTTGTAAGTCACGAGAAGTTTTTTCAGTTATATTTTTGAAAAGACCTTGAAAGGTAAACATTATTAAATCGTTTTATTTAAATCGATAAAATAAAGTTTTACTCGTCTTGAAATTAAAATCTATTTTCTGTTTAGGTTAGAAATCATTTTCTCTTTTTTTGTGTAAATTTGAAACAAATTAAAAAAGTAAAACTATCAAATAGGTCCTCGTGCTTTCGAAACACGCAGTTAAACTCTCCTACTTTTAAAAAACATCCAATTCAGCCATTTTGTAGGTGAATATCCAGTTTTCCGTTGCCTTCAAATGTGGCAACTACTTTTTCATTTTTTTTCCTTTTTCTTTTTGTTTCTTTACTTTCGTCTCCTTCCTTTCTAGTCTGTAGCAGCTGGTGTCCTCGATCAAAATTTGAGCAGAAGCTTTGAGATTTGTACAATGGAATCGTCATATCTCAGAGAGAGCCAAACTAATCTCAAATTTCATTTTTAATCAATTAGTGGATTTGGAAGATTAATTCTCAATAAGGAAGAACTCAAAAATACAACCATAAAAATGTTGGAAAAGGGTAAGGTTCTGAAACTCGAAGGGTTGAGAAGCAGACCAAAAGAGAGAGGTTCTTATGGACTTCGTTAAGAACATGAGTGAGCCAATCTTTCTTACAAGTTTTATTGTTCATGTTGTTTTTACCTTGCTTGGCCTACGATACCACATATACTGCTTATTATGGAGTATAATTCAACCTGACAGCTCTACCTTTTTCTTCAATCAGTTGTTTGGGTGGCTATGAAGAAGTCAATCCTAGACCGAATGGAACTTCTGGAATCTCTGAAAACGGAAATTTCCTCGTTTTCGCTGGAAAAATATTTTTGCCTCTCTTGCAACCACCGGAGAAGTTGGATGCACCAGATCTGTGCACCACCGTCAAATGCAAGACTGCATGACCTATAACAAAACGAACTAACAGCTGATTTCACCTCTCCTGATCGATTCCACCACTGAGTTCAATCCATCGGGAAGTATTCGTTTGTTGTTTGCATCCATAGAATCAGTTCGTCAAGTTAGGACCAGTGAAAGACGAAGTGCAACCCCCTCTCCATGGCGGTAGAGAGTGTCTAAGAGGGCCTATTGTTACGGACCTAGCCCATATTAGGTCCATACCATTGCCATAAGCCCATGTGTAGAACTCACTCCCAAAATACTAGTCGATTAGGAGGAGCTAGGGAACCCATTGCTTATAAGCCACCGGTCAAGTATGGACTTGACCGGTGTGAGATCTTTATAATACCCCACACTTCGAAGAGCCAACGTCCTCGTTGGTCATGGCTATGTTGGTCATGATTGGCGCCCCCAGGGTCCAAGCCACCACTCCATAGGCCACCACTCCGAGTGTCGGGACCAGGAAGATGGGGATGGCTTCGATACCAATTGTTACGAACCTAGTCCATACTGCGCCCGTATCATTTCCATAAGCCCATGTGTAGATCTCCCTCCCAAAAGACCAGCCGATTAGGAGGATGGAACACATTACTTATAAGCCACTGGTCAAGCCCATACTTGATCGGAGTGGGATCGTTACAATATCCAATGCTTCGAAGAGCCAACGTCCTTGTTGGTCACGGCTATGTTGGTCATGGTTGGCACCCCACGGGGTCCAAGCCACCACTCCATGAGCCACCACTCTGAGTGTCGGGACCAGGAAGATGGGGATGGCTCTGATACCAATTGTTACAGACCTAGCCCATACCATTGCCATAATCCCATGTGTAGAACTCACTCCCAAAAGACCAGACGATTAGGAGGAGGGAACACATTGCTTATAAGCCACCGGTCAAGCCCATACTTGACCGGTGTAGGATCGTTACACCTATCTCCTCCGGCAGCTACGACGCAAGAAAGCGGACAAATAGAAGTTTTACATGAAATCCAATAGAGGAGAAAGAAATAAAAAAGAAAAAAGAAAAATAAAATAAAGAAATAGACAGAAAACTGTAGCCACATGGGTTGTCACGTTGACTGCCATGTGTGCCAGTAATCGGAAAATCGCATAGTTGTAAAATAGCTTAATGGAGCGTTGGATATAATTAGGTGTTTTTAAAATACAAGAATCTAATTGACTTTTTTGATATAGTAGAAGTGTAACACCGACCTCGGGCATATTTACTTTTAGTGAATTATGTAATAAACCTTGAAAGGGGATTTATGAATTTGCGTAATTGTAAATTTTATTATTTCTTTTACGTGAATAGTAAATTGCATGTGGGGCCCACAGTGGGAACGGGGACCGCCTGATAATCCCCGAACCACATATTATATTCATCTTGGTCTGGATGACATCTATATGGTGGTGGATGGGGGAAAACTGTCAATTACACCCTCGTACTATGGGCGAATCCTCAATTGAGTCCTCCTACTTCAAAAACCTTCAATTGAATCCGCCAAGTCTCCAAAATCAATCAATTAGGTCTACATTACCGGTTGGTTCCCGGTTTGCCGGTTGCTTGCCTTCCTGGCGCTGACGTGGACTTTGACCAACCGGTTATATATTGGATTGACCGCCTACGTGGCACATGCAGTTGACATTTTTTTATTTACTCTTTTCTATTTTTTCTTTTGGTATTTCCTTTGCATCTGTCTGCAACTGCCCATTCCCATTCTTTTCCTCCCCATCTGCATCTGTGAGTGGTTCAGTCGGGGTTAGAGAGAAGAAAAGAGACAACTTCGTAGTGGTGTAGGAGAATGAGGAGGGTTCCGATCGGACTGCCCCAGCCCAACATGATAGAAAAGTGTCCAGGTCCAGATCTGTTGGGTGTGGAAGCAGAAGCTTTTCAGGGGACTTCTTTGAGAGAATCTCAACTGGTTTTGGGGATTGCACACTAAGAAGGGTTGAATCTCAGAGAGAAGGAAAGCCCAAAATCCAATCTGTCCATCACAGGAACAGCGTGGCTTCTTCAGGGCAAGACTGCATAAGGGAAAGAGTGAAATGCGGAGGAATCTTTAGTGGGTTCATGATGATATCTGCTTCTTCATCTTCATCATCAGATTGGGTTTCTTCTGAAGAGAATGGGAATGGGCAGTTGCAGACGCGCAGGGAGATGCGGATGCAGGCAGATGCAAAGGAAATACAAAAAGAAAAAATAGAAAAGAGTAAATAAAAAAATGCCAACTGCATGTGCCACGTAGGCGGTCAATCCAATATATAACCGGTTGGTCAAAGTCCACGTCAGCGCCAGGAAGGCAAGCAACCGGCAAACCGGGAACCAACCGGTAATGTAGGCCTAATTGATTGATTTTGGAGACTTGGCGGATTCAATTGAAGGTTTTTGAAGTAGGAGGACTCAATTGAGGATTCGCCCATAGTACGAGGGTGTAATTGACAGTTTTCCCTATTTTATTTGGGCCATAAGAAAGGCATGGAGTTGACCGGTTGGTCAAACGGGGCCCAATTACCGGTATTGGTAATTTAGCGGATAACAGCCCGAAATGAGTTTCGGAGGCTCCTAAATTAATGTTGGGGAATATACATCTATTCTAAAGGCCCATAATTATTGGGAACGCGTGATATATTTTATTTGGTCCGATAAAAATAACATATGACTAAAATAGTCCGAAAAATACAACTTTCGGGGCCGATTATACACATCGGGGCAGAATGGGATGACCTCCCACATAAGTGGGGGCCACCCCACGATTTTATGTTTTACAAAGGACCAAAGAAGCAGCTAGGGGCGTGCATATTAGGTGGGAAGTCTCAATTGAGACAAAACCCATACCCCCAAGTCATATCCTCCACAATCATATTGTGGTTGATTGAGGAGTATCCCCTACCACACTTGTACCATCCCACAGCTCAACTACAGAGAGATAAGCTCTGGGAAAAATCTCCACAAAACTCCAGCTCAAGGGAAGCAAGGATGGAGGGAGAATCCAAGAAGGGAAAGCTAGGAGTTGGGTAAGAACTCATTAAGCATTTCTTTTAACTAGTTTATGTTGTATGATTTTGAAGAAATCATATGGTGGATTAAACCACGAGTTCTACACGTTTAAAAGTGTAGAATGTTGATATAAAGTGGTGGTAATTAACTTAGAAGGGTTGGCAAATCGATAGGAGTCGAAATCACCGGAAACCGCCACTTCAAAGGAGCTAGTCGTAGTTGCAGACCACGAAAGCCGCCCGGCATTCGTGAAAGCCGCCCGGCTTTTGCCCAGAAATCCAGTTTTCCACTTTCAATCGGCCTAGAACGGGGATTGATCGAGGAGCTTAGCAAAGGCAACTATTTCAGCACTTCATAAGGTGAGGATGGCTGACTATATTGCTTATAATTAGTGAGTTAATTTCATAAGAATGTCTAAAGTAATTAGATGGGATTTTCATGGATTATTAATGATTAATAATGCCTAAATGAAAATAATATGGATATGAGTAAGTGAAGCATGATATACAAATTTAGAATAATTGTGTATGATTATGTGAAATGAATGGAACAGCATGTTAATGGAATTACTATGATGACATTGTGATAAAATATACTTTACTTCATGTATGAAATTCATGAATGGATTAAAGTGATATTTTTGATATTGAGATCAAACTATACTTGGGTTGAGAAATCAATGGAAATGAAATGCCAATTGGGAAATAGGAACTTGGCATGTTCTAAGATTATCCAATTAGTATCAAAATACTAGTCGGGGAATTAATATAAATAAATGATGAAACAAATCCTAAGAGGTAGGATTGTGAATAGATATGCCTTAAGTAGTCTCAAGAGATACTTAGGGATGAATGGTATGAACACTAAGATGTGATAGGGGTAGGCCTAAAGGCCACCTACGGGAATTGATTCTAGGCATAGGACTTGCTTGAGAATTTGATTATGAAAATAATTAGAGTTGGACTCTAGGATGACATGGAGATGTAGTTGGGCCGAGCCCATGCCATGTAATATGATTAGCATGGAAACGTAGTTGGGCCGAGCCCTTGCCATGTATATGTGACCTCCGTGGAAACGTAGTTGGGCCGAGCCCTTGCCACGAAGTTATGGTTGGCATGGAAACGTAGTTGGGCCGAGCCCTTGCCATACAAATTTTGATATGATATATTGAGCTAGAGGATTGTATAGAGATGTAGTTGGGCCGAGCTCATGCTATACAATTGGGGCTCGATGGGACCCCACGGGGTTATCGTGACTTGCGGTCACGGGGGAATGGAAACGATGAATTCTAAATGAATATGGGCCTACGGGCCGACTACTTGACTTTATGTAAAGTAAGTACAGTTAAAAGTAAAAGGGGTAACCGAGGGTTACGACCTATAATATAAAACGTTGATTATACTTAGTATAGTTGCTATTGTACTTGTCAAATATTTCCAAGTACTGACCTCCCCTTCACGGGGGAGGCCACCTCACAGTTTCAGGTAGAACTTGAAGGTTGCTACCATCGCCCGTGGCTTCGGGAGGATCAAGGGGAGAAGACGTGGTTCGTGCTTCTTCCGTTCTGTTTTAAAAACAACTACGTTAATGCTCATGGATATTATTTTTGAATAATTACTTTGGGGGCTTGTATGCCGAGTTATGCCAAGTGTGGCTTGAACAATTGTATTTATGCTTCCGCTGTTTTAAATGAATGATTTACATTATGTTTGTTTATGGATGTACTATGTGTGAATGATATTCATGACGCCTTGTATAGTATGGATGAGTCGGACTGCGGTTGACTATTCGTACTGTACGGCGGGTTGTTGACGTGTCCGGCTAGGCCCGGGGCGTGACAATTTAATTGGTATCAGAGCCTTAGTCCGTAAACATCATAATGAAGCTTCAAAACTTCTTTTTGAAAATGAATTTGAAAACCATGAGCATAAGGTTTTGTACTTATAGAACTTTTGGTACTTGAGTTGCAATGTCTCTAATTGTTAAGATGGTACCCTTAGCAATTGGCATGGCGGTGATTTGAGCCAAATGATGTCTTTAAGTGCCTATCCGTCAATTGACATTTGATACGAGTCTAATGACTCATTCTCAATTTCTTTTAGAAATGGAACGTACCGGGAAAGTAACTAGAAGGAACCCGACGGGCCGAGCACCGGGACGATCCGTGCAAGGCAGTAGAGGGGCTTCTAGGGTGTCCAGAGGACAGGGCCGTGGAGGCCAAGCTCAGACCGTGAGTGACGGTTATGTTGAAACAGTCAACGAGTCTTATGAGTCCGAGGAGGATTCGACGTATCAACCGGGAACTGAGCCGGTTGAGACCCCATATGATGGGGAATATGATGATGTTAGTGAGGGGAGCGACGATGAAGACGCTCTAGAAAGGATGGAGGAACTACTCCGTCAATTTCAGCAAGATCGCCAAAGGCGCCGGGCAAGGCATGCTTTGGGAGGGGCTTCAAGAAGGGGAAGCCATGCGGGTTCTAGGGGACATATAGAGTCCCGAGTAGATCGAGGTGTCGAGGTCCCGATAATAAGGATCTCGAAGTACCTCAAGGAAGCAAGAGATTTGGGGTGTAAACCGTTCGATGGAACGGGAGATATATCCGTTGCGGCGGAGTGGATCAAGAGGTTCAATGAAGCGGCCCTTGATATGCAGCTGCCGCCAAACATGAAGATGAGAGTAGCAACGAGGTTGCTAGAAGGGATGGCGTCCACATGGTGGGACGGTGTCAAGGGGAAGTACGGTGAGGCCGTAACTTGGGAGAATTTCCGACAGGAATTCTTCAACCAATACTACTCCGACTTCGAGGTGAACTTGAAGAGGAGAGAATACACCAACTTGACCCAAGGAGGCAAGTATACCGTGAGGCAACTTGAGCACAAGTTCAGGGAGCTCGCGGAGTTCATACCGGAGTATGCTTGTGATGAGAACCGGATGGTGAATCACTTTTGGGATGCTTTGGATTTAGACGTGCGTGAGCGGGCAACACAATTGCCCAACATGACGTTTAATCAAGTGGTGGAGCAAGGCCTGAAAGGGGAGAAAGAATGGGAAGAGAGAAAACTGAAAAACGCCGAGGAGGCGAAGAAGAGGAAATGGGAGAACATCGCCCCCCAAGGTTCTAGCAAGAAGGGGAACCACGGGGGAGGTGGGTCTTTCAGAACGCCCGCACCACCATCTAGGGGAAACCAAGGCCCAGGAGGGCAAGGCTCGAGGTCGCAAGGCTCGGGCATTAGCAGGTGCAACAACTGCAAGAGGAACCACGCGGGCAAGTGCCGCGATCCCCCTAGGTGCTACCAATGCGGGGAGACGGGGCACTTGAGATCAAACTGCCCACAACTTGGGCGAGTCATGGGTGCAGGACCTAGCAGCGGGACTACGGCAAGTAGGAACTGAGCAGGGGCACCTCACGCGAGCACGACGCACGGAGGGCCAAGTACAAGCAACGCGCCATCCGTGAACCAAGGCAAGACCCAGACTAGGGTCTATGCGATGACGGAGGCGGACGCACGTGCTAACCCGGACTCCGTGGCGGGTAAAATCTTAAACTCATGTTATTAACTCCATTGTATGCAATATGAGTGTTTGTAATGTGCAAAATTTGTAACCCCGACGGTTTGGTCGGGATTGTAGGGGAAAGGGGAGGAAAAATCCCCGCCCTGGGCAAATGCCGCCCGGCATTTGACGAAAGCCGCCCGACTTTCGTCTTGATTTATTTGGAAAATACTGCGGCGACGAATGCCGGCCGGTTTCCACCAAAAAGCGCCCGACTTTCGTCAACATTTAATTTGGAAAATCCTCGCAACCAAAAACCGGCCGGCTTTTGTAAAGACCGGCCGGCTTTCATAAATGCCTGACTTGGGAATTTTCTCGCAGCTGAAAGCCGCCCGGCTTTGGCGAAAGCCGCCCGGCTTTCGTTAGGACTGGGGATTCCTGCGCTGCTGAACCTCGGCCGGGTTTCGTAGAAACCGGCCGGCTTCGAAACCTTTCCCTGAATAAAAGCTACGACGACGAAAACCGCCCGGCTTTCGTAAAAGCCGCCCGGCTTTCGTAAAAGCCGCCCGGCTTTCGTGATTAAATACTGAGAATTTTTCTCGCAGTCGAAAACCGGCCGGCTTTCGTGA